GTGGCTCAATGGTTTAGTGGTATAATACTCCCTTAGGGTGGGAGTGGTCCTGGGTTCGATTCCCAGTTGAGCCCTAAAATTTTACATTTAGTGTTTTGCTCTGTCTTTTGTGTGAAGCGTACCATTTTACTAAGTCTGGTACGTCCTCCTAATGGTGCTCAGCGAAATGATAAATAAAACTCATAATTATACTGCCGCAAGCGAAAAAACTGAATCTGCAATGTTTAGTAATAATGGATGATAACTCACAGAAACAAAGTCGATTAACAGATGTAATGGCATAAATATCAGACAGACCTAAGGGGATGATGCTAACATAAGTTTACTAAATGAAAATGGCAATGGATGCCACTACAATAATGAGGAAGTACAGGAAAAGCTGCCAGACCCTGCATTTGGTACCTAGGTCCAGATTATATAGTTGGCAGTCTATAAAGAATCAGCATACTTTGAGATATTGTCTTGCATGGCTAACCCTTTTGGAACCTCTTCCTGAGATTGTGTCATTGAGTTTCATACTTTAAACTTTTTCCAGTTATAGTTGTGACCTCCTATAAACCTTCAAGAGTCAAAGCTGAGGTTGACATCACAAAACTGTAAAAGTTACCTAGATATTAGACCCTGAGATCAGATATTTCAGCAATGTATAACACTGTGGCGAATTCACTACATTTCCCTCTCCCTCTCCCTTTCTCATCCATCCTGATGTCTTATTGGTGCTTAGATGGTTACCAAGGCCTGTTTATTGTTCTCTGAGGTTCCTTTGAGTCTTGGCATGACTCATCTCCATTTTTCCCATCTTCTTCAAGCAGGCACAAAGACAAAAGAATTTGAAATAGCCATCTTTATTGGCTACATTCCATTAGTAAGCAAGTTCTCTATTGTTCTACTCCGTTTTTCTCCCACTGCTCTCACTTGGATTTGGTCCTCACAAAAATCCTCAACAACCAAATCCTCCCTCCTTCTCCTACCATTTGCCACCTCCCTTTTTTTCATATATATATCCCCCTTTCCTTCTCTCCTTTTTATCAGCATCAGCTTTATCTTCTCTCACTTTCTTCTTTCCCTCATCAAGAATAAAGTTCCCTATCAAAGAACTTAAGGCTTGATCATTACACCCAGGCTCCCATTATGGAGTGGGAAACATTAATCACCACCATTCAGCAGGTTTTTTCACACCATGAATTGGGATTGAATCTGTGTATGCATATTTGTCAGCTGCACCAGATGGAGGCTGTGAGTTGCTACATTAGTCAGTTCAACAGTCTGATTTACCAGGTGTCTGATATGCATGCCAATGACCATCTTAAGTATTTTTTTGAATGGCCTGCAGCCCTCTCTCCAATACAATCTGTTGGTGTCTGGGGTAACTTCTTTGCCTGATGCTCCAAATAAGGCCCTCATGTTTGCTTATTGCCAGAGGGTGAAATCATCTTCCACTCCCTCTTTTTTATTCACCAACCAATATAATTTTTGGGGTTCCCCTATTGGTGGGTCAAAGCGTTTTCCACAAGGAGGACACTCAGTTATTCCCTCCACATCTGCTGGCCATCCCCCTACTAATTTGGTGGCCATTACCATGGAGTTGGATCAACTCCATAGCCTAACTCTGGTTGAATGTGATGATCTTTATCAATGGGGTGCTTGCTTCAGATGCAGGTGCCCTGGACATACTTGTTATAATTACCTAGGCCTACAAGCCATTCAAGCTGAAGAGTCAGGAAATGGAGTGGAGGCCAACTCTCCAGAGTTGGATGGAACCAAGGTGAAAAACCCCAAGTAATACTTTGGCCATCATCCAACCCAGCAAGGCCTGCTCAATTGATACTTCTGACTCTTAAGGTAACTAAATCTTTCAAAAAAATAATTACAAAAATTAAAAACATTACTGTGCCCTTTAGTCATGCCTCTTCTTCTGTTTTTGCTGTTTCAGGCTCATGATACGGATGCCAGCTATGACCTGGCTTGCCCTTGCTCTATTAGTCTTAACCCTTGTGGTGATTGGGAACCACCACATTAGATTATCCCAAGGTAAAGTTCAAGTCTACTATTTTGGAACCTTAAATTCTGTGATAGTAGAATAGCCTTTTGGTTATGGTATTATGCTTGGGCTTAATATCAGCACACCATCCCTGATATAATAACATTGCTACCACAAAATATATCAACTTTGATCTGTACTGGACGTCACCCTGATGTCACATATGTAGTATGAAACATAGGGCCTGCCCAACCCTTAGAATAAACAAGATTTCCCCGACCTTTTCATTTAAACTGAGTCTCACTGATTTTCCTTATTTTTATTTTTGTCAAGTCATACTTAATAGGAATTTATATCGGCAACTCAAAAAAAATCATCGAAGGCTTGATAGTGTAGAGGTTTAACATACGTGCTTTGGGTGCACGTGGCCCGGGTTCGAATCCCGGTCAAGCCCATTGTTTTTTGTCGATCAATTTTTACTTTTCCATCTCTGTTGTAGGGGAAACTCCCTAGAGGGAACTATAGACTAATAACCGGGATTCTTAAGTCTAATATATGTATAAGCCTTATAAACGGATGGCAAAATAAGGAAGACAGTTGTGTAAGTGTGTTCAGCTATTGTTTATTGAGTAGCAACCAAAAGGTCTTTTATAGTGAAAGATGATTGGTATCCTTCATAATGGCTACAGCTTGAGTTCAGAGCTAATCCCCAGAATATAGTACAGGGCAGGGTTGGTGCCCAGGCAGATAGAGTAAGAAGTTATGCAGCTGCTGGGTCAATACAAAGAGTATTGAGGGGAGGGAGGCCCTAAGCAGATAGAGGTGGAGGCACCAGTCAAGGAAGATGGTGACATCTAACAGCACAGGAAGGTTGGCATCACAACAAAGGAATATCAGAATAAGGGAATAACAAAGGCTCAAGCAGGAAGAGGAGGAAAGAAAAAAGCCTAGGTAAGTGTGGTGATTGGGAGCCACCATGTTAGATTATCCCAGGGTAAAGGCCAAGTCTGCTGTTTCAGAACTATAAAATCTGTGATAGTAGAATAGCCTTTTGGGTATGGTACTAGACTTGGGCCTAATATCAGCACAGTGGTTCTTTTCAGAGGAAGCTGGCACCCATTACCCTACTGCCATCTCCAACCAGCAGCCTGGAATTGATCCTGCACAAGTAGTCCCTGTTGACCCAGGATGTCTCCACCTCAAATGCCGACCATACCTGCAGATGTTGCAGCCACAATAACCACTGAATGATTGACATGGAAATTCCATCACATGGAGCATGACATCACCTTTAATATGATGTTCCTCCCACCTGCCCTGGCTGCCAAGAGATGATCCATACATTGTCTGGTGGTTATACATAAAAACAGTGTCATCATCCATCATTCTGCATTACACCACAATGCAACAAACAACACTCAAAGATGAAACACATGGAGGTCCACTGATGATTATCTCTGAGGCACCATCACATTTGCATCCTGGCCTCTATTTAAGCCTTATCAGTTGCCATCCTGTGAGGATGGAAGGCAATAAATTATCTTCTAATCACCATCTTTATTTCCTTTCAAAGCTCTTTATTATTATTATTATATCTATGCCATCACTTGCCTTGAGAAACCTTGCATTGCTAGGTTTTGCCAACAAGTGGGAGTGCCAATCTATACTCTCACACTAACCCCTCCCACTATATAATTCGCACCTCACTACACATGCTCTGTACACCATTCATGTTGGTTATGGATACTTTACCTACAAATGATGGTTAAGAAAAAGGCCCCTCAGAACTGGCAGTTAATTTTGACAGATTAACTATAAAAGTTTTATCTTCCTTGGCTAACCCTAGTGATCCTTGAGACCAGGCAATCAGGCCTGATCATCCAAGTGCCTATCACTGACAAGCCAGGACTGCACTGGGCGCTTCACCGGGTCAAGTTGCCATCCACCACAGATGGCAACCTCTCCAAAATGAGAGCCAGGATGACCAGCTAATCAACAAACACTGACGAGTTACCCAGCCTGGTTAAAGAGATTAAAATGAAACAAGGTGCAACCAGAGCCCAAAACCCACCCTGTTCAATCCCTCCTCTCTTTACTCCAACCAGCTTGGCTCCCTGAGAGCGCCGCATGGGTGTTGCCGAGCAAGTAAGCAAGTGACTGGTTAGTTAGCAAGGTTAGCAAGGTTATTCTACTGATCCCAGTCGCTTCACCGACCAAGATCATCGTAGACTATGCTAGGGGTATACCTCGTCAGTAAATTGACAACCAGTCAGTGACAAACTTCCATAGCCAAATCTGCATACCATCATCATCATCAGGGCCGAAGAGGGCAGTCGCTTTTGGTAGGTGACACCTCCAGCGATAAGATGTTCCTCTACGATCTGTCCCAGGTCCAGGTGACTGACGAACGTGGGTCTATAGATAGAGGACAGTAGGACAGGGCACCCAGACGACAAATCAGATTTGCGTCTGAGTCCTGACCCTCCAACCTTGATCTACACGGCCCGACGTGGCCGCAGCAGACAAACAAGTTGCCAGTGATGGCTCCTAAACACGCTGGGGTCAGCCGCAGAACCGCAGGACAGTGGCAAGCCTCCGATGCCCCGGACGAAGCCGACGACGGGAGGGTGCCAGGTTGTATGCCTCAAGACTGGTAGGCAGTGTGGGATAACCTATACTATTGGCATGCTGCGGGAAATTGTCCCTGGCTGATTTGTGGGACCGATATGTCCTCACATTGATTAGGCCGCCACATCAAACGCGGCTATGATATCGAAGACAGGGCAGGCCCTTGAAATGTCACCGTCAATCCCACCAGTGTCACTGGCCTCGCGGATTGCCTTATTTTTCTTTTGCCAATGGCATGCCCGACCTTAACCCGCTTCATGCTACTCACCCCACCACGGTCTGCAACAAGTTTTGCTCCTTTGCACCGAGTGTGCCCCGAATTTCACCCCTGGCACTACCGTTTCCTAGATTGCAGCTTTCATTGACCCTCTCCCCACGATTCCTACCAATCTTGGACCGTCACGTCTACATGCGACCACCACGTCCAGTCAACCTTACCTTCAACCGCCGGTTTAATGGCCCAGTCCGGCACTACCGGGCCAACGCCATGCCACCCAGGCGCGATCTCTCGGACCCGGTTCAGCATAGTAGCACGCCAAGGCCACCACCGGCCCGGCCTGGGCTTTCCACATTACCACCAGGTTTCGCCGTCCAGCAGCGGATTCAAATTTGTACTCTCCGGGCGCTACTTAGCCACCGGAACCATCAGGGCGCATGGACAGTCTTTGAACGGCTGCGCCTGGCGGATGCCAACCTTGTCTTCCCGACCGATCTCTATCTCGATTTTTTCGACCTTCTACGGGGCGACCACACTGTCTTTGACCCACCCACAGCGTCTGACCATCTTCGCACCCTTCAGCGGCTATGCGATGACGCCGCCCACCACGTCGACCAGGACCCCGATCCGGACCTTGTCCACGACCTTCTGGTCCAGATCACCCTGGGCTACTGTCTAGCGGGCGCCGAGACCGCCGCGTTCCAGTTCCTGCGTACCGGCTGGCCCGACGACGCCAAGGCCCGGTCAACTGACGTGGACCCCATCATGCAACGCGCCCTTGTTACCCGAGACCGTCAGCTGGCCGTCAGCCTGCTCAAGTTTTTGCATAACCGCCGGGTTCCGCCGAGCCCGCGCACCTGCGTCCTGGCCCTGGAAATCTTCATGGACCAAGACAGTCTGATGGATGTGGACATTCTGATGCGCTACTTTGCGCGGGTTGGCTACCGGCTTTCCCCTGGTCGGTGCGTTAAATTGGCAGACTTCTACAGCCGGCACCAGAACGAGGCCCAGGTGATGTGGGCGTTTGAACAGTGTTTCGACCAGCCAGCCCTTGTTCCTGGTAAGAAGGTCCGGTGGTGGGTACTCATCTTCTGCCGGATGAAGCGATTCGACTACGCCTGGAAAAGTTACCAGTATCTACGCGAAGCTCAGGAGGTGCCCGACAAGCACATGATGGCTGCCCTGATTGAACAGGCTGCCCCCAAGCACGTAGAGAAAGTGCACCAGCTTCTTGACGACGCCCGGCGATTCAACCTGATGAACCCCATAGTGGCGGTCGCCCTCGCCAACACCTACGCCCGTCTGGGTTGCGCTTCCCCGCTTACGCAGGTCGTGGATGACATTTTGAACCGCATCGACCAGTTCAGGGCAGAGGACGTGGGCCAGCTCATTCACGACCTGAGTCGGGTCCAACTCCAGACTCACGCCAACCGGGTCTTCCGGGCGGCTGTCCACGCTGGCATTGTCCTCCCGACCGTCACCCTCCAAATGGTACTCAACCACCTGGCCAAAAGGCCACATTTTGGTCTCCTGTCGTTCTTCATGGCCGCCTGGTCTGAGGGCCGCCTCAATTTGGACCCGTCCGTTGCCTTTTCCCTGTTCGGCCACCTGCTCCTTGCTCAGGAACGGCACGACGCCCGCCACGTTTACGCAGCAATGGTAGACGAGCCGTCCGGATGGTGGCACCGGGAAGCCGCCGCGGTGATGCGTAAATTAGTTGACGCCGACGCCTTCGATCTGGCCCGTGATTGGTATCAGCGCCAGCGCCAGGCCGGACCCATTCCGGAAGGGCAGCGGGCTGTGTGCGACCTGGCACTCCAGGCGGCTGCGGCTGCCGGCGACCGAGACCTACTGGCGACGATCCAACGCGACATGATCACCTTCGGCCTGCCCGACCGGGGCGCCACATCCGCCGCCCACCTTCGGGTCTACGCCCGCCGCGGGGAATATGACATGGCCGCTGACCACCTGCGGGCTTTGGCGGTGAACGGCAGCACTAGTTTGCGTAGCTCCACGACCCCTTTGCTGGATGCCGTGCTCGACCCTTTGGCGCTGGCAACGCAGATCGAACCCGCCGTCAACTTGTTGACCCTGGGTTGCCAACTCGGGTTCTGGCCGTCAGCCGCCGGCCTTAAGACGCTGACTGTGCGGATCCGGTTACACGCCAAGTACGGGGCGGTAGGTGAGGCGGTGGTCAAAACCCTTGAGTCTCGCGCCGATCTGGCCCGGCTGCCGGCCGCCCAGACGTTCACCCTGTATTACCTGGCGCACTGCCAACGGTATCAGGAAGTGTATGACCGGTTCCGGCGGTACCGCGATATTGACCGCGCCCCGCTCGCCATTGACTGCCACGTGGCGTTCATCCTGGCCGGCGTCCGCCTTGGCCGCACCGACGAGGCCGTACGAGTGCTACACGAGACGTTCAGCGCCGGCACGTTCCCCCTGCGCACTGTGTTTATCCGGGCCATCCACTTCGCCTGGGTGCGCGAGCTCTGGCCCGTCCTTGAGGTGCTCCACCGACTCCTGGATGACCAGGGCATGCTTTACCACCACGGCGGCTCCCCGTGCTACACCGCTCTGATCCGTGCCTACACCACGAAACGGGACAC